TGATCCCTGAAAGGCAGGCTTTGCTTAATAGTTACACAATAAACAGTGAGTTCATCTCACTGGGAGACTGAAGTAATGTGCTGCTGGCTAAGAGCCAGCAGACATAAAAATTACATTGATAGAACAAAACAGCTGCTGAAGAGCAGCATGGCAGCAAAAGAACAGCAAGACAATAAGAAAGACAAAACAGACTGACAAAATGGCGGCATGACATGGCTCTTTTATGGAGTCAGCCAGAGCCACACCCATCTCCCAGATCACATGCAGGGGGAGGAAGGAATGTTGCATTTGACTGTACCAATGGATTACATCCCACACTGAACAGATGATTCAGAATCATAGAACTGTGAAGTTGGAAGGAAGTCCAGGGGTCATCTAGGCAGCCCTACAATGCAGGAATCACAGCTAAAGAATCTCTAAAGCATCCATGACAGATGGCCATCCAGCCTCTGCTTAAAAACCTCAGAAGAAGGAGAGTCCAGAACCTTCCGAGGGAGACCGCCCCACTGTCAAACAGCTCCTACCATTAGGAAGTTCTTTCTAATGTTTGGTCAGAATCTCCTTTGGGTCCTGTCCTCTGGTGCAACAGAAAACAAGCTTGATCCATCGTCCATGGGATAGTTCTTCAGTATTTGAAAATGGTTCTCGTGTCACCTCTCAGTCTTCTCTTCTTCAGGCTAAACATACCCAACTCCTTCAACCATTTAACACACACATTCTAAGAGGCTTAAAGAAGGCAGTACATTCAATAAATTTATCAAAAGATGAGGCTTATTTATAAACCATTGGAATAAACATCCTGAGATAAGGTACAGCCTTATGCTCTTCTCCTGATGTTCATGTTCTAGGCAATCAAACCACAGATTAATACATAAATATATATGGTAGATCTAAAAATACTCTTAACCAGCTCTTTCTGTCATTCTTCATTTGTTCTGAGCAGGTATCATTTGCTTAAATTCTTTTTTATTGTGTAAGATTATATTAGTATTCTTCTCTAAGGAAAAAGATATTCACAGAATTGATCAATTTATTTAGGGAAATTATACACCGCATTTTCTGCGTGACCTCTTTGCAATCTTTTTTGCAATGTGTGTGTATCACACAAACGCCACAAAAATGGATTGCAAGTGATTTGTGGAAGTGGGATGGAGCAGACTTGTGAAACTCACACAGGCCAGGAATAGGCTGAGACATCTATCCCCAAGAAAGCCTGAAAAAGCAAAGTACAGTTCACTTTCCCGTTAAGTTGGTAACCCTGTCTAAGTGTGATTGCTGAGCTACACCAGCCCGTGCAGTGGCCTTGACTCATCTGGCAAAGGTGTGCCATCATTCCTACGGGGTACAAAGCCATGGTTTACTGCCAAAAAGAGAGTGACTCCTTATATGGCCAATAAATACCCTTGGCACACCAATTCTCCTTTTTAACTGCCACGGTCAGGCCATAAACACAGTGTGCTTCTGTCATTGCCTGGGGCTCCTTCAGTCTCTCAGTGGCCGAGCGATGCTAAAACTGTGGGAAATCGTTAGCTATGATTAAATAAAGCCTCATTGATTTCTCATCCCTGGCCTTCCTCCCCATAAAAATGTATGCAACCCATTTGCTGCCAGCCTTTAGAAGAACACCCTCCACCCCATTCGGCCAAATAAAAAATGCCATGTTTTTTTATCTTAACTGCTTTCTAATTTTCAAACTGCGCTTAGATGAATGTTGTGTTTCTGCGGTGCGATTGTCTGCATCAACAGCAGGATCTCCAGGAAAGGACTTCGGGCAAACAGGCTCACAAACATTCTGCATTTGCTGTCAAAGAGGCCATTGACTAGAAATTAATGCAATCACCATATGCAACCGTATGCTGTTCACCTTTGAACAGAGGCCCAAGCTGTCTCTACACGTGTGCAAGTGTTTGCATGAAAAAGTACACACAAACTCTACTGCTGATATTAATATTGCACAGTTTGAAGCGACTGGCTACGTGAAAACTGTTCCTTCTGGAATGAAGCATTGCCTAGACCCATAATAATATTATTCAGACTTTTTACTTGCAGAACTTTCTTTAAAACAGAATTAAAACATCAAATGTACATCGAAAATGATCCATACAATATCTTGTGCTGTCTGCCACAGGCTCAGCATCTTAGAAAATATGACATAATCCAAACTAACCTAGAAGCAAAGGTCTCTCTCTCTCTCTATCTATCCATTTCGCCTGGAGCTGTTTTCCTTGAGAGCTTCATTTCCATCTTCACAGAGTCTGGAGACAAAAGACTCAAGGGCAACTCCCTTCAAAATGCAGATTTGGAACCAAATACCTTTGTCACTTGATCTAAGGTTATAACACTCGCATGTTAGCTAGCAGGAAACAACAATAATTAATTATCAACTTGTTAAAGCTCAGAGAGAGCTCTTTTTACTGTTCTTTAGTTAATGGAATCTCCCCCTGTTAAAAACTTTCACCAATACCCAGACATTCCCATTTCAATGTCAATTAAACCAATTATCCTTAAGCAACTATTGTGTAGACACGTTTCCAGAGTGTCAACTCACTGAATGCAATGTGTGAAACCACTTCTCATGTTTCCTCTGGCTTAAGTTTCTGGGATAGCTCAAGCCACAGAGTAGGCATAGGCAAACTCGGCCCTCCAGATGTTTTGAGACTACAATTCCCATCATCCCTAACCACTGGTCCTGTTAGCTAGAGATGATGGGTGTTGTAGCCCAAAACATCTGGAGGGCCGAGTTTGCCTATGCCTGCCAGAGAGCATGAGACTCTTAATATCTGGGTCATGGGTTCAAGCCCCAGGTTGGGCAAAGGATTCCTGCATTACAGAGGGTTGGACTGGATGCCCCTTGTGGTCTCTTCCAAGTCTACAATTCTATTATAACCGCTGGCCTTGGGTGGAGGCACTTCAGAGCCTTCCTTTGCTTTCACCTGCATTCCCATTCATCTTCAACAAAGCAACAGAGGGAACATAAACATGCCACCAGACGAATGAGATGCTGGATTTATAGGAATGAAATGTGCATTAGTGGGAAAGAGCAGCGAAGATCAAGAGGTGCTTTTAGGGGCAGACACCCATTTTTATCTTTTGCAGACTAATTGGCCATACATTTGCTCCATTTAATAAACACCGGACGGGTCCGACGCTGCACGCTTGACAGAGTGTACACGGCAAAGTAATTACGTTGAAGAGATTAATTGGGAGACGGAGACGGGGAAGTAATGAATACAAAGTACTTAATTAGGTCATAAGTAAACACATGAAAGCCTTCCTTCCACAGGGTGTTGAAGGAGGGTGAAGGTGCTGCAGATGGAAAACAAAGAAGGGACACAGCGCTCAGTCCTAAACAGGGACAGGTTACAAAATGATCTGAGGCCAGTGGGTGAGAGAACATTGGTACATGCAGGCCTGCTGTTCTTCATGAACATCTGTTCTGCACTTGGTTGGGCCACATCTGGAGAACTAGATTCCGTTCCAAGGATTGATTGATTGATTGATTGATTAATTAATTGCTATTATCTGGCCTATGGGGGGGGGCAAAAGCAGTTTAGATCTCATTCTTATTTAGATCTCGTATAACCTCTGTTTCAAAACAGCTGCATCGGTTGCTAGTTCTTATGTCAATGGAATCTCCTCCTGTTAAAACTTTCCCCCAATACCCAGACATTCCCATTTCAGTGCCAATTAAACCAATTATCCTTAAGCAACAGACTTGGGACTCAGCTACATTGTCACAGACTTGGGACTCAGCTACATTGGCAAAGAAAAAGCACTTTCCATGCACTGTTATATGCATTCTAACACCGTGACACCAGACGGCGCTGTGGAGTTCCGTTTTTGCTAACCCAGTTTCTCAAACAAAGTTTGCAAAGCGTTTAGCTGAAAATGCTTCTTTGGGGTGTCTAGATCCAGCCTAGTTGGATGCAGAGGAACGGTGAGAGGAAGCAAGAGAAGAAGACTCAGAGCCTGGGGATTGGTGGTGGGACAACGAAGAGGGAGAAGACTGGGAAGAGGAGGCATTGGAAGCTGAAGAGGTACCACGGCTTAGTGAGCTGGGAAAGTCCGTGGCAGAGAGAAGTCCAGAAGCAGAGGCAGAAGCAGAAGCAGAAGCAGAAGAAGAAGAGTTTGGATTTGATATCCCGCTTTATCACTACCTGAAGGAGTCTCAAAGCGGCTAATAGTCTCCTTTCCCTTCCTCCCCCACAACAAACACTCTGTGAGGTGAGTGGGGCTGAGAGACTTCAGAGAAGTGTAACTAGCCCAAGGTCACCCAGCAGCTGCATGTGGAGGAGCGGGGAAGTGAACCCGGTTCACCAGATTATGAGTCCACTGCTCTTAACCACTACACCACACTGGCTGTGGGAGTGGGAGGAGTGGGAGAGAGTGGAAGAGTGGGAGGAGGGAGACCAAGAGGCAGAGATGAATCAGGCTGCTGAAGAGTCACAGGTGTCTCCCCCTCCTGCTGTGACAAGTTCCCTTCTCACCTTGTCTTCCAGAACCAGAAGAGGCATGAAAATGGTGGAGGAGAGGTTGGCTGCATGCAGGTGCAGTCTCTGGTCGCTGGGGGAAAGCCCTGGGGAAGAGGGGACTTTCAGTCTCAACAACTGATTTTCATGGAGGAAGACCACCAGAAATGAGCCGCTCTGCTCATTAGGCCTGACATTCAACCAACCTGTGGAGGTTGTGGTTTTGCTAATACAGAGTTAACTCCATCTTTGAACTGTTTGATTACTGGCTGGCTTGCTCCTGTGACGGTTTGTTTCTTGGCCCAATTCAAGGTGCTCATCTCAGGAGTTTAAAGCCCAAACAAATGAAACCCCATCTATCTAAAAGACCACCTCCTTCCCTTCTTGGCTGCTGATATCAGCAGAGGGGCCCTGTTAGTTGTTTCACTGCCCTCAGAGGCTCAGGGGTTGGGGGCCTGGGAGAGGGCATTCTCTGTGGTGGCCCCTAAGCTGTGGAACTCACAGAGGTGCTTCTGGAGAATCTGGCTTTTGGCAGGGATAGCTCAGTTGGTAAAGCATGAGACTCCTAATCTCAGTGTTGTGAGTTCGAGCCCCTCGTTGGGCAGAAGATTCCTGCGTTGCAGGGGGTTGGACTAGAAGACCTTTTTTGTTTTTAAATAATTTTTATAAATTTAAATAATTTTTATTAATGGACTAGAAGACCTTTGTGGTCCCTTCCAACTCTACAATTCTATGACTGCAGATGTATGTTTTTAGGACCGACTTTATTTTTATGGTTTTAAGTTGTTTTGAACTGTATTTAATATTGTTTTAATGTTGCAACCCATCCTGGGGCCTTAGCGTGAATGGAGGGTAATAGATAAAAATAGCAACCACAGGATCCTGACTCAGATGGCGCTTGGGCCTGATCCACAGAGTTCCTATGTTCTTACCCGCATAAGCTTCTACATCCAGTCCCTGGAACCTCTGTTTTAAACAGACCTCACTTAGCAGGCTTGGGGAAGACGTGGGTCTGATAAACCCATGGAGACAGACAGACCAACCACCTGATTCAGAACAAGACATCTTTCTGGATATAAATCTTACGATGCGCAAACCATTAACAATTAATAGCTGCAGGAAAAAGAAAGAATTTTTATTAAAAAGCCTGAAATCGGGAGGGAAGGAGGTCAATAGATGCGTAGAGGAAAGATTTAAATATTTAAAGATATAAAGATTTAAGGAAGAAGACAAAGAACTGTAACGGAAACTGATGTTATTTTTGTGTTATGTTTGGATATTTCTTTTGAAACTGTTGATTTGTTGTTTCTTTTGGTTATTTAAGTGAAACTCAATAAAAAGAAATTTAAAAAAAACCAGAACAAGACATCTTTCTGTGTAGGTTTCATTTCTCCCATCCGACGCCAAACTTCCCGATATTTTTGCACATGTTCGGCTGTCATGCAAAAGCGTCAGGAGAATGTTTTATAACTTTGTGTCGCCTGCTACATCTGCCTCGACAGTAAGGCTGACATTTCATTTTACTGCGCAGATGATGTCTAGGCGAAAGGACAGGCCTCACCTCCAGACACACGTCACGTTACCTGCCTTCCAGCAGCACCATAATTCACTAAGCACCAACAGAGGGGTTCCGCTTCCAGAAATAGGTACGGCTGGGAATTTGAATGTAGAAAACTGAACCTAGAGAGATAAAAAGCATGTTGTTCAAGCCCTTGAACATAGGATCTGGAGCAGGGATTTTCTACTGAAGTCTGGCAAGGTCAGGTATGGTTTAAGATCCGCATTGTAGCTTTGGTGCAGTTGGGTCCTTTAAAGCGGGAGTGGGGAACCTTTGGCCATCCAGATGTTGCTGAACTACAAGTCCCATCAGTCCTAGCAAGCATAATCAGGAATGATGGGAGCAACATCTGGAGGGTGACAGGTTCTCCATTCTTGCTTTGGAAAATGGGAAGAGTTGTGTTGGTCACTGACCTAGATGGTTGTAAAAGATTAGACAAATTCATGGAGAAGACCAGGACTTTTTTCCCTTCAGCCAGAACTCACCAGAACTCAGTTCTGGCATCTCTCAGGTGGGCACCATTGCCATTCTAAGAGAACGAGGGAAGTGTTCGTGGTACCTCTTTTTCTAGAAAAATGGCACCTCTTTTTCTAGAAAAACAGCACTGGAAAGGAATATCAATGGCTACTAACCATGATTGCCTCCACAGCTGGTGGCAACAATGCTTCTGAATACCCAGAAGCCATTGGGGGCATGTCTTCAGCAGCTTCTCCTGCCTCATCCCCTGCTCCTCCGCCCAATGTCCATGTAGCACTTCCTAAGCAGGATTTGTGCCCAAGAAAGCACTTCCTAAGCAGGATTTGACCACCATTTGCTTTTGTTAACTCAGAAGGCCATGCGAGTTTGCTGAGTTACAGCACAGCTGTGTAGCCAATTTGCTTCATCCTGGTTTTGCCGTTGACTTTTATTTGGCCTTCAAAAAGACATATACCCTGGAAGCTATAAAGTTTGCTGCACGGATTCGCTGCATAAGAAGAACTCAGAAAGCATATGAACTTTCCTCTTCAGAATCCCACGTGGAAAAGCACTTCAGTGTTCCGCTTGACAAAGTGCCTGAGAGAAGCTAGTTGCTATCTAAAAATAGGGTGATGGACAGACATAAAAATAGCAGTGTCCTGTAAGAGCAATTTTTTTAAAAATAAAAAGGTTGGAAATGGCTTTCAGTTTAGAAATGATGGGGCCTCTTGCAGCATCTCACAGTGATGGAGGTCCCCATGCCAGTCCATCAAGGAGGACTGATGGACTTCCAGAGATGATTAGTCTATCGAAGGCTACTAGCCATGACTGTGCTCTACCTCAACTATCAGAAACAGTATTCCTCTAAATACCACTTTCTGGAAATCACAGGTGGGGACAGCACCATTCTGCTTGCAGGATTCCCATAGGTATCTGATTGGTCAATGTACCTGAAGGAGCATCTCCACCCCCATCGTTCTGCCTGGACACTGAGGTCCAGGGACGAGGGCCTTCTGGCGGTTCCCTCATTGCGAGAAGCAAAGCTACAAGGAACCAGGCAGAGGGCCTTCTCGGCAGTGGCGCCCGCCCTGTGGAATGCCCTCCCATCAGATGTCAAAGAGATAAACAACTATCTGACATTCAGAAGACATCTTAAGGCAGCCCTGTTCAGGGAAGTTTTTAATGTGTGACATCTTAGCGTATTTTTGGTCTTTGTGGAAGCCGCCCAGAGTGGCTGGGGAAACCCAGCCAGATGGGCGGGGTACATATAATAAGTTATTATTATTATTATTATTATCATCATCATCATTATTATTATTATAAAGTGATGCTGGTCCTGATGGACCTTTTGGCCTGTCCAGTAGCCACTTTCTTATGTTCTCCAAGAGAATGTGGAAACTGCCTCTGTTACACAGAGGTGTCATTTGTCAGAACTGTGCACATGGCAGTGTGACCTTTACAGCTGTGGTTTGCGTATATTGAGGTTGGGCGCTCCCAATTTGATCAGAGCAGTGGGAGGCGGGCATTAGAGAGGAATGCTGGAAGGGCCAGGGCTCAGAACCGCAACTCAGAAAAAGATATTTTTCCCTCTCAAGGACTCCACGTTCTTTGTTTGTTTCCAAGCACTCCATTCAAACACCCTCTATACATTGGAGCACATCTCAGGAGTCAATAGAGTGACTGGTACAGAGCCAAGAAGAGTGAGAGATTGCAATGCAAGTATCTCCCATTCAATGAGGATACTATTCAGTTGAACAAGACAAATTGATTTTGAATGACTCTCTGGCTGTTTCCATATGCTGAGCTGAAACTAGATCAAAACTGAATTGCTTCCACCGAGACCACTTTTCGAAAGTTAAGTTTATCATAAGTAGAGTTGAAATACTCCAGAGTCCTAGTCCGGTGTTAATGATGGACTTATGTAACAGTTCTCTCTCTCGCTCTGTCTGTCTCTGAATCAGACAGTTGGAAGAACCAAAGGCACTTGGGTATTAAAAAAACCTACCCCTACTCCTGCTCATGCATTCTTCATCACAAGCAGACAACAGGTGTACTGTCAAATGAGGCCTACCAAGCAAACATCTCCAGATGGTGTTCTCTAGCGTTGCCTGCTTGTTTCCATTTGTTCTCATGGTATGATGATAACTCCCTGGCCTTTTTTCTGCCTTTCTTTCAAGCAGAAAAAAATGCTACTAATGCTTCACCTCTCCTCACTTCAAAGAGGATATCGTAAAGTGCAACCCCTCACCCCCCAAAGCTGGGCACAACTCGTGCCTCTGGGGAGGGGCACTGTTATGTACTGAGCTGAATAGGATCCGAAATGCAGCAGTCTGATTGGTCCTAGAACAATAGGATTCAGAATGCAGCAGTCTGATTGGTCCTAGAACAATGGGATTCAGAATGCAGCAGTCTGATTGGTCCACAGGAGCCACCCAATCCAGCTCCAGGTGGAAGTGAATCCACAACCTGATTGGCCTGCAGGAGAATCCCGGAATTAGCCAATCACGTGCGGCCCATTGTGTAATAATGTATATAAAGCAGACATTCTGAAGGAACTTCCATTCCTCCTCACCACAATGAGCTGAATAAAGAGCATGAAATCCACTCTCGACTCCTGAGTATATTTCAGGCATATTAAGCCTCCTGAATGAGAAACTAGCCTTCTCAGTCATAAAAGGACTTTTCATTCCCACTTTCTTCTGGCACTTGCAAAACTGGGGAGGTGTGTTTCCATTTTGGCAGACACTCTAGTCCTCTTGAAAAGTGGGGAGCAGACCCCATGAGGGGAGCAGAAAGGACGCATGGTCTCTCAACCACTCCAGGCCCTGTCCCTCTTTCATCTGTTTCCAACTTGTGGAAGTTGCCTGTTGAGATTATTTTCAAACTATAGAGGCTCCCCGAATATTTTTCAATCCAGGAAAATCAAAGAGCTATTGGAAAACCCACTGAGATTTTTTACAGTTGATCATCAGTTCCAGTGTAAGGGGCCATTGCTTAGTTATAGGCTGCAGACTCCAGATGCACAGAGGTAGGTTTGGCCCTTGACATCTCCAGGTAAAAAAGGGTGGAGACAGCAGCAGGGGGAACAGACTCTTCCATCAACTGTTGGTTGCCAGCAGCCATTCCATCAAAGTGCACTGGAGGGAGAGATGGAGAAAGAGGCCAGTCCATTGGCTTTGCGGAGAGGCTAGCTCCAGTCCCCAGAAGAGCTTCCATCCTGACTGGTCAGCTTGAAGATCCGGAGCCAGAATTGGCTTCCTTTCCTCTTTCCTCCTCATACCTTTTTCCTTTCGTGTTGTGTCTTTTAGATTTCAAGCCTGCAGGCAGGGACGGTCATTTCCCACTGATCTTATGTACACTCCACTGGGAGCAATTCTCGCCCCCCACAAAAAAACCCCTCAAGGAGGTAAAGAAACAGAGAGAAACATCAGGCAGAGTAGAAAATATTTGGTACAGGTCGAGGGTGGGAAACTGGAGCCAGCTGGCAGGCAAAACCTTTATCTCTTCTACCCCAAGCCAGGTTTGAGCATGGTTGTGTTTCTGACATTATCCTGCATGCGCCATTTCCTGAGCAACGCTTACCCTTGTAT